TCTGTTTAAAACCAGTAGATGTGGGTCTACTGGTCTGTTTAAAACCAGTAGATGTGGGTCTACTGGTCTGGTTTGTAACCAGTGAGTTTCTTCTCCTCAGACGTGCTACAGGTGTAAAACTAGAAGAAGATGCATCAAGAAGTTCACGATACAGAAGTTCCCCAAGATCTTAGTGCTACGTATCCTTTCCTGTCTGATGATGATTTATTATATAATATATAATATATTAGATATTAGATATTATATTATTATTATATTTGAAATATGCAGGGAATTTATAAAAGACTTGGATGTGTCTGTGAAGCAGAGGATCGTTCCATTGTGGCTGTGTGGGGGTGCCTAATATCTGATTATACATAGAACTGGTTGGTTTCTCCTGATTAATCATAATATTTAGACTATTTTGGTTTAAATATCAGCATATTAATAGTAGTGTTAATACAATCTAAAATTAGAAAATAACTTGTGTTCTTTAGTGTTTGTGAATAAATCACCACGTAGAATAAGTTTCAAGATGAACTTTATTATCATTCACAGGACAAACGCTCAGCATCCGGCTCATTAGTGTATTAAAAATGTATATAATAATAACTAAATACATACATATGATAATAATAATAGCACTCACATTAGAATGAATAACTATCAGAGCGCTGAATGTATTTTATATTTATGAACGATTCTCTCTTCACTTCCTCATCATTTCTTTTCTCTCGCTGGATTTATACAAACTGGAACATTATATTAAATGGAATTTACTTTAAAAAAGTAAATTGAACGTACGTAAAATAGTAAATTGAACATACTTAAAAAAAGTTAATTGAACATACTTAAAAAAAGTAAATTGAACATACTTAAAAAAAGTAAATTGAACATACTTAAAAAAAGTAAATTGAACATACTTAAAAAAAGTAAATTGAACATACTTAAAAAAAGTAAATTGAACATACTTAAAAAAGTTAATTGAACATACTTAAAAAAGTAAATTGAACATACTTTAAAAAAGTAAATTGAACATACTTTAAAAAAGTAAATTGAACATACTTTAAAAAAGTGAATTGAACATACTTAAAGGTTAATTGAATGGGTTCAACGGGTTAAGAGTGCATTGTTTCGCTAACACCTAACGTTACAGCCTCGTTTAATACAAGTAAAAAAAAAAAATGAAAACAAATGTATTTCTTCCATTTTAACTTTATTATTCATATAGAAAAAGAATGCTCTGTTTTTTTAACATCCTTGCTCTCTCACACACACACACAAAAACAACAGCTCAGCGATATTGTCGTGTATCTCAGACAATAACTGAGGTTTTTTTTTTCTAGTTTATATAAAACTTCTGCAAAAGCCGACAAAAAACTTGACCAATCAGATCGGTCGGTGACGCCTCTAGAAATAACTTTAAACATCAGTATTTTAACTAATTTCTATTTGATCTTAAGAACCTGTTATCACCGTTAGAGGTGTTTGACGTCACGATCTGATAACCAGTCGGGAAGCTGAAGCATTTATTCACATAGAAGAACGTCTATATGAATAGTTATTAGTTCTTAGTTAAAATGGATGAAATAATAACTTTTATATCCTCTACCTTTCCTTGTATTTTGCAAATGAAAAGCGGCTCTTTTGAGCCAGAGCTTGTCACCAGTGATTATGGTGAAACTGTAATCATATAATTATGAGAATAAGTTAGAGAAAGAGGCTGTAACGTGAGGAGTTAGTGAGCATGTAACACAGTTAAACGTGTTATTAAACAGTGTAGAGTTCGCTCTGTGAGCTGACGAACACATGAACCCAGAGTCACTAACGTGTTGAAGGTTACATACTTGACTCCTCCCCCTCCTCTCCAGACCTGAAACGCTTCTCTGAGGCACGAAGAACCAGCAAACTCTCCACCTTTGTGAACTTCCCCATGAAGGATCTTGACCTGCGGGAGTTCGCCTCCCAAAACAGCAGTAAGTACCCGACTCAGAGAAGAAGAAAGAGTTTGATTTCATGTAAAAGATGGAGAATATACCAGATATGAGATTCTCTTTTACCTTCCAGCTCCTATCAAATACAAGGCGCAGCTTAATGCTACTACTTAATGCTACTAGAGCACCTGTGAACTCTCTATTACTCTGATGTTAAAGCGAGTGTTCCTGTTTGTTTGGTCCGTCTCAGTGGACGCCGTGTACAACCTGTATGCAGTGTCCAACCACTCAGGCACCACGATGGGAGGTCACTACACAGCCTACTGTCGCAACCCCAGCTCGGGAGAATGGTACACGTTCAACGACTCCAGGTAGGTCTTCATCATCATCATCATCATCATCATCATCTCATACAGAAACACCGGGAAGGATTACTGAAACATTCATATTTCACAGCAATAATTCATAAAAAAAACTGATTACCGACGAATGAAATCACCATTTAACTTGAGCCAAATGTGGCGTCTTCAAGCGTCTTAGTTTGTCCGACCGACAGTCAAAAGAAACAGAAAAACATTTGATTTACAGCGACAGGAAACAATCATCTTGATGAACGACTTAATCCACACTTCTAAAAATAAGAGAACGCATGATAATAATGATAATAATGACGATAATATATGATGATGTGCTTTTTTTTTCTAAATTGAGATACACTTTGGCGCCATGTTGTATTAAAACACAAAGAAAGCTTCAATCTACGATCAGTCATCTGGTATTCAGACATCAAATTAAATTCGTCACTAGAGGAGAATTCCAGAAGATTGAGCAGCTTTTCTTGTGTAACACAGAAACGATGGACGCCTCGGCTTTAGAGTCCTCTCTCATTTATGAACGTATTCAAAATGATATTTAATAAACCTGAAGATAAATAAATATTAGCAATACAATGTTTATAAATTTGCAGTGACGTCCCAGTCCCGAGTGTAGTGTGTCACTTCCTGTAAGTATAAAACAGAATACTAACATATGAACAGACTCCTCCTCCTCAGTCCAAATATGGTCACTTCCTGTTCACTGGTTGCAAAAAGTCAAGATGGCGACGGCCAGAAATTCCGAACTCGAGGCTTCAAAACATCCACAAACTAATGAGTGACGTGAAATGAGTTTATTTGTTTTCTCCATTGCTCTGGTTTCCATCAATGCAACCTTTCCCCCCCCCTTCTTTCTTCCCAGAGTAACGCCAATGTCCTCCAGCCAAGTGCGCAGCAGCGACGCCTACGTCTTGTTCTACGAGCTGGCTTCTTCCTCGCGGTTGTGAAGCCTCCCGGAGGACCGCCGCACCGCTCTGACTGACGGACAGATGGAGATAAAACTAAAATATAAGAGTGCTGGTGGAGCCTGGACTTGTTTTTTGGACATATATCACATAAACACACATATAAGCACACACACACACACACACACAGACACCTCCACCAGCCTGGAGGCTGCTTCTCTCCATCAGAGAGAAACCGAATGTTCTCTTTCTCTCCATCTTTACTCTTCTGTCCTTCTCATTCTGGGTGGAGGTGTGTGTGTGCGCGTGTGTGTGTGTGAGTGTGTGTGTGTGTGTGTGAGGCTGTTACGGGGCAATAATCCCATCTGTCCTTCTCTATGCACTGCAAACACACCTCTTATCTTTCTTCTTCTTCTTCAACTCTTCTCATTTGCCTCAAACCATTAAAAAACTCACTTGTTGCAATTCTGAATTTTTTTTTTCTGGTTATAATTTATATTGTTTTTATGTTTGTTTTTTCGGGGCATCATCATCCTCATCATCATCATCAGCACCACTTTGGACTGTGGATGAATTGTAACAGGACTATCGTGGTTACGAGGAGCTCTTCAGCCCACCGGCCTGCTCGCCGTCCAAACAACACTCCCTCTTCTTCTTCTTCTTCTTCTTCTTCTCTCTGTCTTTCTCCGGCGGCGGGTATAGGAGGCTGGTGGCACTGTGAGCGTTACATGTTTTCAGAGGACGACCCCTCTCAAACTCGTGTTTTTATTGAAGTTGTTGTTTTCTCCCACGTGTGGCTGCTACTGATGTTTTTAAAGTGCTGTGAACGGACTGAGGATCAACAGCGACGATAATGATTTCGGTCCTCGCGAGGTCTTTTCTTCCTCTCTTGTTTCAGGCCATTGAACAACACGGAAAATAATGTTTTAAAGAAGAAAAAAACACTATATCTGTATATTTTTATATCCTGATGCAATATAGAGAATGTACTATTCAATGATGCTGAACATGACCCACAACTTTCAAGAGAGAAAACAAAGTTATTATTTATGCTTACAGGTGATAATGTGATGAGTCACACTTTTTAACAGTGGCAGTCAAACACATGAGTATATGATATATGACTGTATATATATATATATATATATATATATATATACACACATATACATACACATATATGAATGAAATAAAGTTAACAAAACTGGTTTTACTTGGTGATTGTCTTTTTAATGAATCGGCAGGTTTTGTTCAGATATGGTGACTTTAACACATGAGGACAGAAAAGAAAGAAAAAGTTTGAAATATTAAAGCAAAATCTGAGTTTTACATAAGAGGTCCGAACTACAGAGGTGACGGACGCCAGGTCCAAACTACTGAGGTGACGGACGCCAGGTTTCAACAGGTTTGTTCTGTTCTTGTTTGTACTTTAGAAATAAAAGTACTTTCATCTTGTCTGGTTTTCCATTTCTGCCTCAGCCTTTGAGCCAGAGAGGAAGCTGACAGACTCTACTGACCTGCTACACTATGACTCTTTCATGACCATATTTACTGCCTTTTCCACGTCACCTTTTACAATGTTGAAAAGCATTACTCGCCATTTAAAAGATATATTTTTTGATAAATCACAACCTTGCCTCGTGCATGCGTTATTAAAATCATACACATTAAATACTTTATGAATGAGAACAAAGAAACACTTCTGAGGGGAGTTAGCAGACTTGTTTATTTCCATTCATTAGTGAAACAAACGAGCCTTTCACGTTTGATTCAGTGGTCTGCAGTCATCAGACCGACACGAGCTCTCCGGCTCCCTCGTGTGGTGAGAAGGTGAACTGAAGGTTTAAATGTTGAATAAAAAATTATGAAAGAAACTGCAAATGTGTTTTGTGACCCAGTAGGGGGTCCCGACCCACGCTTTGGAAATTACTGCACCATACTATGACTTTGATTTATTTATTTTAATAACTATACGATGACTTTTAATGATAAACTATTGTTCTGGTCCTTCTCTAAGACCACAGCAAATAAGGGAAGCGATTAACTAAAAAAACACATTTTATGAATCAAAGATTGAGTTACTTTAACAATGTAGCCGATGGTTTAAATGTTCCCTGTGAGGCTGAAGAGAGGAGCGGTTTACAGGACAGAGTTAAGATTGTATGAATGTTATATAAATATGATTTACCAACAATGCTACGAAGCCTCTTTCATGAGTAATGACATGGATTCAGATTTCTTAATATCAGTTGTATTTATTCTTTATTGTCAAACTGTTCCTTCTGACAGCGACTACAACAACACCATATCTCTACAAGTGCCCAAAAATATATCTCACTGACCTTTTGTTTTAATATTTGGCAACTTATAAGTCTACGAAAACAATTAACAATATATATACTAATTTATTCATGAAAAAATACATCGTCAGTTTCCACAACAAAATAGCAAAGAAGGTCTGTGATACACGCAGTGGTTCTGTTACATGACAACTCAGACCTGCTACACATGGAACGCCTACGCAGTGACACACAGGGCCAGATACGTGAACCGCTTCAGTCAGCGCTCTTCAACATCAGGACACAACATCTGGATACGGACTCCTGTACCAGGGGAGCAGCTCCTGCACACATTATTCAGGCTTCACATATTGGAGGTGTGGAGTATATTTAGTGTCCTTTTAAAGTTTTGCACACTAATGTGAAGAATGTTTAGAGTGGACTACACGCTCAGTGGTCCTCAACATCTGGTTCAGGCTCAAACAGGGCCGCTACTAACCGACTGTGGTCCCCCGACGCTTCACAGGAAAACAACAAAGAAATCAACTTCATCTCTGTGTGTTAAATACAGAGCTGGAGTCAGGATACGGTTAGCCTAGCTTAGCATCAAATCTGGAAGTAGAGATACTCCAACCAAAACTTCTAAAACTCAACATTAACATGTTAATATCCTGCTAGTTTAATGTGAACAACAAACAGAAATGTGTAGCTCTGTACTGAACACACAAACATGACGTTAATATCAGAACCCTCGCTCTG